CCAGGCCCCAGCTAAAAACCTGGAGGCTGCTTCCTGTCCTCCATCACTCTTCGAATCAGCAAGTCACTAAGCTCTGTTAATTCGACAGTGTAGCTGAACTCCATCTCCTCTCCATTCCCACTGCCCCTGCGGCTGTCAGAGCACACATTTTCTTGCCGTTCTGTCCTCCAAATCCATTCTCCTTGCTGCTGTCAAAATGATTTTCCAAATTCAGAACTCAATCTCTTTCTCCTGCTAAGAATCATTCTCTCTGGTTGGGGGCTTGAGAGGGCACAATAACACAATCTTTTTCCCCACCTGAGTTAAAAAGTAAGTAAGAGATAAGCAAGATAGAGGAAAGATATGGGGATCAGAGTAGCATCTTCATTACTGAGAAGCATTACCTTTTGCAGGAAATGCTGGCTTCTTTAGAGTCACCAGTCAAGGTGTGACTCCTCCCCAGGGAAGGAGTGAGGGGTGGAGGGAAGCAGTGAAGCTTCCTCCACACAGGAAGAAACTTCAAGAAGGAAGAAGGCCCCCCACCACGAAACCTCCCAGATGAATTATGAAATCTGCTCGTGTGTTCAGGACCTTCATAGTGGGAGCATGCCATCACATCTGTCCACGTGTACTCTATTCTCAGGCTGCACTTGTCTGCTGGTAGTTACCTAAACAAGTCATTCTTTCAGACTTCTTTTTCCCTTCTCATGCTGTTTTCTCTGCCTGATCTGAAAGACTTTCCCTGCCTTATCTACCTGGTGAAACTTATACCCCAAAACCAACTTAAACATATGCCCCCCATGAAATATGCTCTGACTTCCAAGGCAAGTAGATAGCTCCCTCCTTGGGACCAGTAGCGCTTTGTACGTAACTCTCAGTTCTAACCCCAGTGCAGTGGAATTTGTTTTGTTTCTATCTGCCTTCTCCACACTGCACTCCTTGCTCAGAAAGAATAAGTTGAAGTCATCCTTTTGGCCCCACTGTCTCAAGCACAGTGCCTGGTGCACAGGAAGTACTCGGCAGCTTCGTGGAAAATAAAGGAATGAGTTCAAGAAACAAAGACTTGCGACATACAGGTGACTGGTGGCCGGGGGACAAACATACAAAGACAGGAAGCTGTGAGAGTGCCCAGCGGCTCACGAAGTTTGAGGAGTGACAGTGAAGAGAGCGAGTTGGATGAAGAGTAGGACAGGGTCCCCTGCTCAGAAAGGGCTTTGCACGGCTGTAGTCAGAGCCCCAGTGATTTTTAAGTGGGGAAACAATGTGGTCTGATCTGTGTCTCATGGAGAAACACCATGGAGGCTGGGAGAGTCTAGAGGGAAGATGGGTTGGGGGCCGGAGGTGCAGTCAGAGGTGCTGCCAGGCCTACTTGACGAGTAACTGAAGCTGAACCAAGGCAGAGGCATTGAAGATGCAGAGGAAGGGCTGGATCTGAGAGTTGTTTAAGGAATCCGCTCAACACGATGCTGTTCCTGTTGTGATCACTGGGAGGGCACTTGAGTGCCACTCCAAAGGTTCTAATTAGTGCCACTGGGTGGCCACCGGTGCTAGTGACAGATTGGAGGATATAGGAGGAGCCCACTGAAAGGAGGAGGTGAATTTGGTTCAGGGGATTTGGGTTTGAGGAACCTTTAGAATTTACAGGTGAAAGTTTCCTGCTTGACGGGAAATTCTAATCTGTCAGTAACACTGGGAAGATTTATTTCCACGTTGGTGGAAATAAAATACTTGGGAGGAGCCCATGTGGAGGGCGCGGTTGGAGTCCTGGGATTAGGTTACGAGCTCGGGAAACATGCCTCTGGGAGAGGAGCTGACTGAGGCTGGGATTCCTTAATAAGAGGTCAGGCCGGGGACGATGAGCAGGATTTTGAAGACAAGCAGAATCTCTGATTAGACTTACCAGTGATGAGACATGAGAGAGGGACCTGGCCTGAAAAGAGGCCCTGAGACGGGATGATTAGAGGTCTCCACTGCCTCCCTTTAAAGAAGAGCAGAAACAAGGTCCTGGCACTTTTTTTATATTCCTGACCTTTATTATAAAGAGCAAGATTGATCTCAGACTTAGGAGTAGAGGCGAACATTATTAAATAAGAGAGCTTCAAGTTATACTGTGATTTCTGCACCACTCAGAGAAGCAAAGCCCCTAATTACTCCCCTGGCCTGGTAAGAGAGCGCACACGGAGGAGCTTGAGATTAATGCAGAAGCAAAGATCCCGGGTGCTGGTTAGTAAGCTTTTCCAGGAGCGTGGTTGTCTGCTCGGCTGTCATTAATTTGAATGCTCATTACCATAATGTAGAAGCCAAGCTGGGGTCCTGCGCTCTCGTTGCCGCCAGCCCCCGTGGTCCTGGACAGCCTGGCTGTCATCCCATGTAGTTTCTTCTCGCTCCCCTGCCCTTTCTTTAAACGACGTGTGCAATTGCTATTTTAAATCTGAGCCTTGACATTTTCAGTGGGTACGTGCCTAGATTTCCACAGGTGTGATTGCAAACCTGTAAATTACCGGCTTCTGTTTGCTGGGACAAGTGTAAAATGGGCCTCTTTGTACGCAGGTGAAGTAGATTTGGCAATCACAACAGACCCTCTGTGTGACGATTGTGATGATAAGCACCTGTCGTTCTCCACTTGCCTGCCGTTTGCCGCTGGAGGGAGCGGCAGCTGCCACTGCCTGTCCTATTGGGCCTGGGGCTGGGGAAGGGAAGAGTCCCGCGTGCCTGCCCTCTGGTGGTCAGAGTTTGCAATGACACTTCTAGTGGAGGGACCCGCCTTCCCACAGCCCTCTGGTTTGGGGAGGTGGAACCTAACCCCCCTGCCCTCTGTGTGAAACCCAGAATGTCCTGTTTTGCTCTTTGTAAGGGGCCTAACGCATACACAGGCTTACACTCTGCAAATCATCTCTAGTCCTTCCCACTCTTTCCATGCCATGAAAATGACACACTTAACGTTGGTATATATAAGAAATCTGGGCAAGCATTAGAGTGTGTTAAAGGTTAGAAGTCATTTTCACTTTGTAGTTTTAATGTATTCATTCGTGGCCTAATTTTTTGATGGAGATGAGCTTTTTTAAAAAATCCCTTTGGGAGGCCGAGGCAGGCAGATCACGAGGTCAGGAGATCGAGACCATCCTAACACGGTGAAACCGCATCTCTACTAAAAATTAGCCGGGCGTGGTGGCCGGTGCCTGTAGTCGCAGCTACTCGGGAGGCTGAGGCAGGAGAATGGCGTGACCCGGGAGGCGGAGCTTGCAGTGAGCCGAGATCCGGCCACTGCACTCCAGCCTGGGTGACAGAGCGAGACTCCGTCTCAAAAAAAAAAAAAAAATCCCTAACCTGTAGGTATATGCCAGTTTGCACGTGGGTTTAATAGGAAATGAACCAGTGGCGTTGCTTGTGCTTCTCATTCTCTCTCCACGCTGCCACTGTTCCTGCTTCCACGTAACTGGCACGGAAGAGGATGGCTAGCCGGAGTGTTGCTCTCCTTTCTTTTTTGGAACTAAGATGGCACTGTGTATCCAGCAGCTACCAGGAAATGTCGCTGATAAAGGAACTGGGCCAAAGCTAGACTGCAAGCTGCCATGATGAGAATTCACAGCCCCTGCCTTCCCACCCTACCACCAGACTGTGGCCGTGAAGAGGGGAAGTTGCTGCTGTTCACTGTTCCCATGATGCTTTTCATCATCAGGGATGGATGCATGGATGGAGAAATAAAGCTATATAGGCATAAAGCCAATATTTGTATCAATAGCCATCCCTTAAACTCAGATCCGGGGGTTTTAAGAGACCTGAGTTCCAGCTCCAATGTTCACCTCTCTGAGCTTTCATTCTTCTTCTGGAAAATGAGAGGCAATGGAGTTAATGGTCTCTGAGGTGACCTTTTGGATCTAAAGTTATGATTCTTAGAACTAAAATTATTTCCTTGAGAAGGTCCCTCCATGCTCTCACAGCTGTCCCCACAGTTGGTGCAAGATGATAGGGGTCCAGGAAAATGACAGGTGCCCAGGTGTCCACAGGAAATGCAGGGGGAGAGATGGAGGCTCAACACTGGGATGGCTTGATGTGAATGGGTTTCTAGAGCGAGGAATTCGGAAGGAACAGGCAGTTGCTTGTTTTGTTCTGGTTGCTTTGCTTGCAGTGGGGAAGGTGAGGCCGGGGAGATTCATGGCCCTGCTCTCCCGGCTGGCCCTCCCTCCCTTCTGCCTTTGGTATGCAGTCTAGGCAGCCGGAGACTTTTCCCAAGCTTTGATTTTTTTGACATGTTTTGAAACTTTGGATTCTTGTCTATGCTTTTCTTTCCTTAAATTAGGGTATAATTTAGGGTGTGGGGGCAGGCCAAGTGGGTGGGGCAAGTGTGGAGTAGAGGTTGTCCCTGCCTCTGGGCACCCACAGGCCACACCCTCCTCATTCCACTCAGGGCCTTACAGAGCATCTTTATTTTCTCTTTGTTTTCCTATCCATATAACCAAGAAAAACAAAAACTGGGGTCAGAGTAGGGTCACTGACACTCAAAAGCCTGGAAAAGCAAGGGCAGCCCTGTCCCGCTGAGCTCCCCACCCTCTGCCCCCAGAGTGTTTGTCCTTGGGCCCTCAGGGGCCGTTGTGACCTCTTCCCCCTAGAAGCTGACACACTGAGTCCTCTTAGCGCTCTCATGTGATGGGGAAACTGGGAGAGAATGGGCCCTGAAAATCAGAACTAGAACATAGAATCCTCTATGTCGTCTTCATCAGAACCCGCAAAGCTATCAAGAAAACGCATCCCACCATATCCCACATCTGAAAATGGTCTTTCTTGGTTTCTGATAGTAGAGTCCCAGGTAGTAACTGTGGTCTCATCATAACCCTTGTTGTCAGAAGCTCTGGGTGTGCACCCTCCCCTTGAGGTCTGATCTCTGCCATGTCCAGCCGTTTTGTAACCTGCATCCAGACGGCAGCAATGCATTGAGCCATCCTGCATTAATTCCCATTGAAACCCCGAAGTTCTGGGCAATTGAATTTTTTTGTGCAGTGTCATTTGTTTTTCTCTTCCAGGCTTTCACCACTTTCCTCTGTCTGTACGGCATGATTTGGTATGCAGAACACTATGGTCACCGAGAAAAGGTATGGAAGGAGAGGCAGGTTAGCTCAGAGCACATGCCTGTAAGGATATGGCGAGGCAAACACTGAGGTCAGGGCCTCTAGTCCTGCCACTGCAGAAACTGCATGTCGTAACTCATTCCCTAGCAGTTGCTGGCCCTGCTTGTGACTGCTCTGTTCAGTAGATCAATATTTTTATCTAACTTTTGTTAGATAAAAAAAATGTTATGTTTGTTTGGAGGAAAAAAAAAAGTGATAGGAAAGCCGTGGACTGGCTTTTGGAAGCTGGGTTTTCTCCCCAGCTCTTGAACTGTGTGGAGGCCTCTTCCTGTGTTCTGGCCTATGGCTCTTCTGGGCAAACGCTTGCCCTGACCTTCATTTAGTAGATATGAGGACACAATAGAAACTAGACATGAGTGACTTTAAGACACGATGGCAGTCTGGTAGACAGTAATATTTTTTTTCAGTAAAAATAACAATTTCATCCTTTACTTACACCTTCAGTCTAAAGAACTTAAGGCATGTTGTGGAAGACTGATTCTGCATCACCCGGGAGAGGAAAGAACCTGGTTTTTATAGCCAAGAAACATAAGCACAGGGAGGTTCTGTCACTTGCCAGTGATGATCCCAGCCTGGGAGAGGCAGGGACGCAGCGTGCTCACCTTTTACTCTGCCGCTTCTCCCAGGGAGTTCCTGAAATTCCTGCACTAAGCCTGTCTCTCTCCCTAGACCTACTCAGAGTGTGAAGATGGCACCTACAGTCCAGAGATCTCCTGGCATCACAGGAAAGGGACAAAAGGTATCTTCTTGTTCGTTGTTTAAAATTTTACTGGGTCCTTGAGATGTGGAACTATTACTTATTCTTTAAGTGGAGATGATATAAGCCTTGAAGGGTCTCAGGCCTACCCGTCGAATGTCTCCTGTCACTTATTAAGAAGCATGCAATGGCCGGGCATGGTGGCTCACGCCTGTAATCCTAACACTTTGGGAGGCTGAGGCGGGTGGATCATTTGAGGTCAGGAGTTCGAGATCAGCCTGACCAACATGGTGACACCCTGTCTCTACAAAAAATACAGAAATTAGCTGGGTGTGGTGGCAGGCGCCTGTAGTCCCAGCTACTCAGGAGGCTGAGCCAGGAGAATTGCATGAACCCAGAAGGCGGAGGTTGCCGTGAACTGAGATCATGCCACTGCACTCCAGCCTGGGCAGCAGAGTGAGACTCTGTCTCAAAAAAAAGAAAAGAAAAGAAAAAAGAAAAAGAAATGTGCAAAATGCTCACAGGATCTGAGTGAAAAACTTGGTTTGTAAGAAGAGGCTCCATGTAGCTCTGCCCTTCGTGAGGGCCCCACACTGTTTCAAGCACCCTGATGGGAACATTCTCTTGGCTTTCATCATGAGTGAACAGGAAGAATTGTATATCCGGCCAGGCACAGTGGCTCATGCCTGTAACCCCAGCACTTTGGGAGGCCATGGCAGGATCATTTGAGGCCAGGTATTTGAGACCAGCGTGTGCAACAGAGCAAGACCCTGTCTCTACAAAAAGCTTAAAAAATTAGCCAGATGTGGTGGCACATGCCTGTAGTTACAGCTACTCAGGAGTCGGAGATAGGAGGGTCACTTGAGCTCAGGAATTCGAGGCTGCAGTGAGCTGTGCTTGCACCACTGCACTCCCACCTGGAAGACAGAACAAGACCCTGTCTCTTAAACAAAAACAAAAACAAACAAACAAAAAAAAGAATTGTGTATCAGAAGGAAAAGGCTTTCAAAAGGGGGATCATTTTAATGGCATTTATTCAAGAGGCAGAGCAGAGCAGTGTAAGAGATTTCAGTCGCGTAGTTAGGGAGCCTCCACTGGCCTCTAAGGATCGCTTTGGGAAGATTTGGGGCCACCTGGTTATTTCAAAGAATTAGACTTGTAGAATAATGACATTGAGGTGACTTCATTGGACAGTAATTCCTTGTCAATCCTTATAAGCTGATTGGGAAGCTTGGCTGAGGAAAGAAAATTACAAATACTAAAGACTGAATTTTAGTTCACAAAATTGCTCAGAGAAACGGTGGGCCAGTAGAGAAGAAAGCGCTCTGTTGCAGTCATTCTCCAAAGTTCTTTTGGCATCAGGCTCATTAAAGATCTCCCAGGGGAGATACTAGCATACACTCTGCTGAGTTGCTGGCCGCCCTTTTGGGGAATTTCTCCTGAATCACGGAATTGATCAGTGAGCGACCCGTTGTGAAATCTGATAGAGATGGGCAGAGTAGCTCCCCAGGTATCTTATTTAGAACCATGCCCTTACAAACAACCTTGGCACTCACAGGATCTCCACTGAAAAGAATTAAGCAGTAGTAGAGATGTATTTACTAGATGGAATAATAAAAAAAGAAAACAAAAACAGAAGTCTTCTGAGTGGGGAAAGAATCTCTCAGTCTAAGCCAAATGCTACTTACAGTGGAGACAGTAATTCTGGTAACTTTTTCTTTGCTGGCAGCCTCAGGTGGCGATTTCCTATGGGGCTGGATCAGAGCCCTGGGGCAAAGAACCCTTTGACTTGGCCTCTAGGCCAAGCAGGGACTGACCACAGGCTCAGCCGGAGGGCAGAGGCTGCCCAGTGCCCTCCCTCATGGGCAGCAGGGGCCTGAATTGTAAAGATGTTCTCCAGATCAAGTGGTAGAGGGCGTGAAATAGCTCTGATTTTATAGTGTCAAGAATGTTTCCCGACGTCGGGTTTAGAAGGTGGTGTGGAGCAGGTGAAGGGATGGAAACCCTTGGTTGCAAGGCAGGATGGGCACCGCATGGTGTGTGTTCTAATTGCCCCTCGTTCGGGCTTCCGTTTCACTTGTGCTCTCACTTCTGGTCCTCACCATCATGACCATGTCCATCATACACAGGGCAGATGTACACACGCTTCAGGAACCACCCAGACTTTGGGGGGCTGTTGTGTTGAACCCTGTGCCCGGCGTGTGCTCCTTCAGTACTAGTTCTTGGAGAGCCTCGCCTTCATTTATGAATGAGGCCACTAGGGGGAGTGCACGTATCAGGGAAGAACCTGTTCCCCGGGAAGGCTAGGGCGGTCTGGAAAGGGACAGCCACCAGTCTCCAGAGCCCAGGGTGACGGTGTGCTCTGATTCCTTTGGCCAGGTTCTGAAGACAGCCCACCCAAGCACGCAGGCAACAACGAAAGCCATTCTTCCAGGAGAAGGAATCGGCATTCCAAGTCAAAAGTCACCAATGGCGTTGGAAAGAAATGAAAAACCCTGGTTAATCAAAGATGTTCCAGAGTGCCTAGAACTGAGAGGGAAACGGAACTCATTTGGATCTCCCTGTGAGGAGGTCGAGGCGCACAGGGCAAGCAGGAAGAGGCGAGGGCACTTGGGGGTCATTATTTGAGATCGTAAGTCTTGTTTCCCACAGACCTGGCCGCGTCAGGCAGCTCATCGCCTGGGGGCCTTTGCCAACGTGGGGTCTCTTCTAACTTCAGCACTTGGCATGCGGTCACCGGTAGCAGTGCGGTGTGTTGGAGGGAAACGGTAGCTATTCCTTACCAGTTGCCAACAGCAGCTCCTCGCCTGCTGTATCGTGGATGCAGCATAAACATCTTTCTTCAGACAAGGCATTAACCCCATGGTTAATGGACTGGTCGCCAGTTTTTATTTTATTTTTATGAATCTACCTTTCCATTGATTGATTTAAGTTCAGGCCACTTTTCTGTCTTTTATTTGGTTACTGTTGTTATTTGTTTTTAAGTTAGGATGCTTTTTAACAGCCTTTAGAAGCCGCTGCTGAAATTGACATTGGGGGAAGGGTTCCCCTTCCTTCTAGAGCAGAAAAGGGAGAGAGGTGTTGCATTCCTGTTTGGTAACCTCAGTCTCCTGTAAGACCTTCCACCACATGGCGAGTGTACACCAATCAGGAGAGGGTAGCTGCCTGCATAGGAGCCTTGCTTCCGATTATTCCCTTCCCATTGTTATTCATCCGGACTTACCCACAGTGCACAAAAGCAAACCTGCTGGAGAGGCAGTGAACACCACAGCTTCTCCCCAGCCAGGTGCCTTTTACATCGGGTTTGTTCTCCTTCCATGGTGTGTTGCTGACATTGTCACTGAGTCCCATGTGAGGTGCTGGTGAGTATTACCTTTCATCTGTGCCATGCTCTAGAACCTTGACCCTGATAGTTCACCACCTCTGATGGATCCCTGTTTTAAATAAAACAATTCACGTTAAAGCCTATCAAAGGTCTGTCTGTAAAATGCTCATTTTCTTGCATCCTACTGGTATCTTCCATTGATTGTAAGCAGTCAGTGTGTTTTTCAAGTGACTTTAGGACAGTATATATGTGTTTTATATAGTGAGAAGAAAAAAGAAAAGATGTGTATTCTAAAGGGCTTATGGATATATATGTCCTACTTCTTAGACTTGCCAAGTGACCAACAGGAAATGAACAACATAGTCATTGTTTTTTCCTGTGGTAATGGTTTCCAAGTTGGATTTTTTTTTTCCTCTAACAAGAGGCCAGTACCCAGTTGATTAGCTTACAGATACCAACTCACTGAAAGTAATCTCTTTTGTTCCCTCATTTCACAGGGCACAAAGGTTCGTTTCGATGTCTCTTCTTCTTTAAGGAAATCTTTAACCACAGAAGTGTCATGTTTTTCTTTTTCTGCAAAAGAATTCTGAGATGAAGGGGTTCAATGAATCATGCCAGCCAGGGTCACATCCTGTCCTCGGGGGGCCCAGGGCTCAATAGGAGATTCTGCGGGAGTGGAGAAGCGTCAGTGGCAGCTCCGCTCCCTTGGCAAGTGAGGGGTTTGGCTGTGATGAGCCTCAGCTCCAAGCTCTTAAATGTCCTCCAGCCAGCATCCGCCTGCTTCCCACAAAAGGATAGAAGAGAGGCAACGTGTGTGTTTTATAAAACCTGCCTGCACTTTTATAACGGATCAAAGAGGCCATTTTTAAACATAGGTACAATTTAAACATGATCGTACCTTGCAAATAAATGTCTTTTGTTTCATCCTGTGTTGTGTATCTCTAAGCATGACATACTTGTGCCCATTGGACACCTGTCTCTTCTTTCTCGTGCCTGTGGTGCCTCACTGAGTGTTTCCGGGTTCACTTTCCAGGAGCGCTGGGCCTGACACTTTCACACTCGTCTGACTGTAGCCTTGGCCCAACTGATGGAGCATGTGTGCTTCCTCCGTGGCCAGCCTACAGAAGGCAGCTGTTTCGCAGGTGGTGAATTCGACTTTACTGTGGCGTTGTGAAGAGCAGGGTGCACAGGAGACAATTTTTTCTCCATGGCTTTGTAAGAAACAGCCAGGAAAGTCCTCAGATACTTTCCATGCCCTTTCTTTGAGTTGAAACTTTCTATTTCCCTTCAGTAAGAGCTCTTCACTATAGTACTTACAAAACCAGTGCTTTCCATGGCTGGCCAGAACCACAGCTGCCATTCCTTTTAGAAGCCATACTGCTGGGTTTGGTCTACTTTTTTCACCATTTGTATGGAAATAGACCTCACATTGATGGAAATAGAATGTATATTTCAGAATCATCATTCAATATCTGAAATGATTTGATTGTAAATGATCTCATGTCCTCTGTTTGCAAACCTCCCTCTTAAGAGACAACATTGTTTTGGACCGAAAGCATGAAGGACGGTTTACATGTTTTTCCTTAAGTAGCATTGCATTGAGTGTTAGGTTCTTTTCCCTTTTTTTCATCCTTGGTCTTCCCAAAGCTTCTTCCCACATTTCTTGTGTCTGTTTTCACCATTCATAGAAACCTTGGCCAAACCACTCTCACCGCAATGGTAGGATGTTTCATGGACCTATTAAGCATTTCGATGATTAAGACATCCTATCAATGCCAGTCTTATTTTCACTAGGACTCTGCTTTTATAGTAAACTCCTAAGGTGCGCACCCAGGAGAAAATAAAATTCGTTCCCAAATACAACAGGTTCAGCCTTCTTGGTCTTCCCTCAGAAGCCACCATGTAGCACCCTGGAGTGATGCCTCTTTATGCCAAGGCCCACCCTTTGGAATTGGGAGGGTTTCGGGTAGAATCCTGCACTTACAGAGGCCCTCGGGGTCATTGAGAAGTGGAGGAGGTTGAACACAGAAGGGGAGGCTGAACACAAGGTGGGGAAGAAAAAATGTAACCATGGGCAGCCAGACTGAAGCTAGCCCTTTAAATACGGGGTTGGGGGGTTAACATGCACACTCTCTGGAATGTGCTCAGTGACTGCCGCAGAGTTCCTGGGCCCACCCTAATGTTTACCAGGTGGGCGTTGTTTATATGGTTCTTATTGTTATGACAACTAGAATTCCCACAGTAGACTAGATAGTGCTCCATACCATTTCCCATTTATAGGATTGAAATCAAGATGTAAGGAGAGCTGGCCGGGTGTGGGACTCACATCTGTAATCCCAACATTTTGGGAGGCTGAGGTGGGTGGATCGCCTGAGGTCAGGAGTTTGAGCCTGACCAATATGGTGAAATCCCATCTCTACTGAAAATACAGAAATTAGCTAGCGTGGTGGCGGGCGCCTGTAGTCCCAGCTACTCGGAAGACGGAGACAGAAGAATTGCTTGAACCCGGGAGGCGGAGGTTCCAGTGAGCCGAGATCGCGCCACTGCACTCTCCAACCTGGGCGATGGGTGAGACTATAAAAAAAACAAAACAAAACAAAAAAACTGTAAGGAGAACTAAGACGTCTGTCTGTCAGTGTTCCATTACATAGTACACCTCTTTCCTTCACATGCGTGTGCACATTCCCAGGATTATATCAGAGATTTGGTTCTTTGCAAGGGTCAGTATCAGTAATGGCTGAGACTGGTGGGCTGCAGTCATGTTACTATGCCATAGAGGTTTTTACAGCATTTCCCTTATCACACTTTATTCTAACCTGATGATGGGCCTATCTCAGGTGAAGATTGCAATAGTTTCCTTAATTGAACTTTGGTATTTGATGCATTAAATAAATATGGTTTTTCAATTTTGCTATCTTCTGTGAATTTAAAGGAATTATTTCATTGATGTCTACCAAAGAGGAGAAAAAACAGTTGGATGTGAACTTTTTTTAGTTTGTAGGAATGCTGAATTGTAAAAATCTTCCTTTTCTTCCATGTTCACTAAAAAATGCCTTTAGTCCATTTCAGAAAGTTCATCTGTGACTTGGTCTACTCTGATATCCCCTTTCCTGCAGCTTGTTAGGTGGAATTTTGAAGCTGCTTTTCCTGCAAAGAGATATTCATTGTCACAGTCTAACAGTGTTCGAGGGTTTGCAACAGGGCCAAGTACCTCCAAGGCCTCACAGGGCTAAGCTGAATTTATCCCTTGTAATAATACTCTGATACTCATAATACTCTGGTTGAAGCCTGGTCTCTACCTCCATATTCAGTACACCCGGCTGGGGAGGCGGGTGACAGCAAGCTTCCTGCCCGCTTTCCTGGCAAAAGGGACTCCTAAGCCCCAGCATTGTTGTCCTCTTGGACAGAGAGGAGAAGGGTGTTGGCAGATCCCTTCCCCTCTCGTAACCCCAGTGAGGACAGTAACATCATTCAGAACATAGAATTTACCCAAGGGTTTTGCTTTCACAGCTGATGCGACCAACCACCCAGCCTCTTTAAGTGATCTGGGCTCACGCTTGTACTTCTTGTGCCCAGGAGTTAATTGCTGGTTTTTCTTTGGTACTGGAATGCTCAAGACATCACCTTGGCCAGGGTCTGCAAACTGTGGGCACCGACAGTGCCCTGCGGTGGCAGGAAGATTTGCTCAGAGCTACGACCTCCTGCCCCTCGGTGCAGTCATCCCGGGGCGTCAGAGCCTGGTGTTCCAGTGTAGGGTGTGGCCCCTTTCTGGATGCTGAGTAAAGGAGACTCTTGTGGCTTTACAAACCACAGGAAATGAAGTTTGTCTGTCTTTAAAAGAAAATTGGTTTTCTAATATTTAAGACTAAAAAAACCAAAATACTTCATTTTCGTATCTGAAGTATACACACAATAGCTTTCATTAGAGAGTCAAATTACAGGCAAGGTTTATGTAACAATCCATACTGGAAATCTGGGCTGTAAGCCTGACTGTTCCCACCCGCCCGACAAAGGGCTGTTTGGGCTCATTCTCATCTCTCCAACTGCATATGTCATGGACTGATTAGGTATTTTATGAGTGCAGCGTGGGAAAGGCTTAAGAAAGATCTTCAGCTTTCAAAATGTTAGGGATCCTCCACCTCTCTTAGAGTGGATGAAATCCAGACCAGGAGCAGGGGAATAAGAGTTCACTAGGGCCACTACTAACATGACTTCCAGACAGAGGCATTCAGAGGATTGGAGCCTTCAAAACACCCCTGTGTGGGGCTCTCCGCACCCCTTCCCTCTCGTCCCTGAATCCTCCCAGCAGCCCAGCCGTAGTAACACAAGCTTGCACACAGAGCACATGGCCAGGAGGGGCCGGAGGGGGAGCCGCCAGAGCAACACAGCCTGAGGCTCTGTGCCAGGCTCTTCCCCTGGATTCTTGTGCACATATCTTACTCCCATCAGCAGACCACAGCCCCATAGATCCTCGCTGGCCCCAGAGCTGGCAAATGGATGGCAAGGAGCTAGTTTCCTGGTGACCGCCACACCTTTGCTCCTTCTCCTTGGAAGGAGACTCAGATGTCAGGTGCTTGCGTGATTAGAGATGGCCACACCTCCAAGCCACTCTTCAGATGACTCTGGGGGTGGTTGGCTGGTTGCGTGCTCTATGGACGGAATAACTGGTGTTGGCCTTCATTGTCTTTTGTGTCCTGTGAGTAGACAGACTCCGGCCTCGACATCCCTGTGTTTCTGTGGCCTGAAGTCAGTCGAGATGCCATCCTTGAACAGGGTCCCCATACTCCACGTGGGTTCTTTCCCAGTGTTTTGACGCATTCTGCAAACTGTTGGAAGGCAATTTCTCTCCCCTGTAGCAGCTCCCTCTGCCCTCAGGAATGTGATTTACAATCTGATGAGGCCATAAACCTCTACTTTTCACGTCTGAAAAACAGCAAAGTATGGGAAAGAATGTAAATTATAAATACTGAATTCCTATGGTCAGCACTAATGGAATGGCCTGGGTGGGTTATTTTTTTAATATGGTATGCATATGGCTTTAATTTCTAAGGGGTTGGGTCCTCCCCCACCACTGTATTTCTTGGGAGAACAGATAACAGCAAAATGTCCTGCTGTGATATAGTGTTTTTCCAAAATGAAAAAATAGCATTTTTCTGATGACTCACTGGTCAAATACTTTGAAATGCCACTCTTCGTGGAGGGGGATGGGATGGTAGGTGACAGTGACATTTCCATACTTACCACCTTGGTGATCTGGTGTCTCTCCACCCCAAAATAACCCCCAATGTTCTCACTTAGCAACCTCCTCCCACCCCACCTTAACTTTCTAGGAGGGGGTTTTCGTGTAAGATTTTTGAAATTCTCTTCCCATCTCTCTTATCAGTCAAGGCTCTGCTCCCTAACTGGGAACAGACTTCTGATTGCCGCCACGAGCAAGAAAGACAGCCACAAAGCAAAGAGGCTGTGCAGGTTTGAGTTTCCATTCTAGCGGTGGGTCAGCGCCTGGCTTAGATTTCACACCCTGGGCAGCAGCAGCCCCGCGCTTTGCTAAGGTGGGAAAGAGCCGCCAATCACCGCGTGAATTCCTGCTGCTGTTCTCAGACCACAGAAGCCAATGTGTGGTATTGCTGTGCTGGTGTTCAGCATTTTCCCCCTTAAACCCTCCCTCATCCCAGTTCAAAATGATGGGTGAAAGCTGAAAAAACACCCAGAGCCCAAAGTTCCCAAACTCCTATTATAACAGCCCACGCCTGCCGCAGCATCTATGAAAGTGAATAGGGCCGTGTCTTTCTTGGTGTGGTCAGTTAAGTATGCTGACGGTGGAGGAGTGTGCGTGAGAATAGGATGCCTGAAATGGCAAACATATCCACCCACAGAAACACATAATCTCACAAACACCTATTCACTCAACACTCATCCTTTGT